GTAGGTAATTTAGACATTTCTTAAATATGGGTGATTTAGACATTTCTTCTTCCTTCTTAAGGAAACCATTTTTCTTCTTTAACTTTCTTTTACCTTACCTCCACTTGACTCAATTCAAACATTGCGGCTAAATAAAAAATTGACTCAAGTTACATTCTTAAGAAGTTAAATGGATGACTCCTGTACTAGCAAGAAATCTATTAAGGGAAATTCATGAAATTCATCCAAGAAATCTAGAGTTTTGACTAAAAATATAGCCGTCTTTATAAAAAGGAGTTTTGACCATAAAACGGCCATAGCGCTATGGCCCTAGTGTGAAAATTGTATATATTAGGTTGAAACAAGATTTGCATCTAATTTAAAATTAATTGATAATTGACAATAGGTGAAATAATTTTTTTTTATATTTAACCCATAAATTTTTTATTTTAATATGCGGTGTGAGATTTTTTCACTCAATACACTTCTCACATGCAAGCTTGTTTTGAATGTCGGGTTCTGTCACATGACTTAATATGCCCCTTCACATACAGATTCGGCATCAACTTTGGGTCTTATTAGGTGGGCTAATAATGGGTTTCTCAAAATAGAATCCGAGTTCTAATACCATATAAAAATTTTGCATATAGGTTCAATACCTCTAATACTATGTGAAAATTATGCATATGGGCTCAAAACAAGACTTATATCCAATTTAAAATCAATTGACCGTCGGTGGAGTAGCATTTCTTGTCTTTCTTTGTTATGCACTTGAAGTGAGATTTTCCCACTCAACATGCCCTCTCATATGCAGGCCCGTTATGAATGTTGGGTTTTATACTTTTATCACATGGCTTAATACGTCCCTTAACTTCGGGTCTTGTCAGATGGGCTATAAGAAAATTGTACATGTGTGTTTAACATAAGACCTGTATCTAATTTAAAACCAATTAACAATAGATTGAATAACTTTTTTTGTATTTAACCCACAAATTTTTTTATTATGTATTCGATATGAGATTTTTCCACTCAACAGATAGTGAGAACAGAGGGTGTTCGATTTTAGAGCTGAGGAAAAATATTGAACATATATAATTGTTTGGACATAATTTGTTAAATGGCCTAACCCCAGATATGTAATAAGAAGTAGTTTAATCCATTTATTTACACTCTTCATATAATATA